GAACGGGCTGAACCTGAACACCATGACACGCGGATTCGATTCCCGATTGGATGGATGTGAACTTGGCCCTCCACCGTTCATACCGTATAGAGATCACCAAATAAGCATGTTATTCAACTAATTACCATCATGAGCTGATACTTAGACTTCAAAAGAGATCATTCGAGATCACCCTTTTCGCTCAGACGTGTTTGGGGACCGCAGCTGGACCTCAGAATGCTTCTTCTGTCACCAGCATTGGACACTTCCATGTCCTGCCAGGGGCAAGAGATGGTGCAACCCACACCGCCGGCCATCCGTTGAAGGCAAGAGGAAGTCGGTCGTGTTTTTCGACGACGGAGGAACGGTGGTACGGAGAACAAGGATAGGCTGAACAGCTGAAGGTCTTCATCCTTTTAAACGTTTGGTGTATACTCAACACACTGGGAACGTACTGGGGGGTTGAAGAGTATGACATCTTTGTTAGTTGTTTCATATTTGTTTCGTTCGGTGTCCAGATGCTGTTTTATGTTTTGGACACGCACCAGAAAACACAGCCCAACTCAACTTGATGGTGAGACTGCCGGCTTCGATATTATAAAGTCAACTCAGTATAGTCAGGTCGGATGAAACTTCGATCCCGTCAAGGTTATTCTTTGGTAGGAAAACATGGTTTGACAATCTCATTCTTTTTGTGCATTGCCGTGTTCGGGGGTCCAGATTGACCTTAGTCCCTCATTGTCCGAGGAAACCCCTTTGGAAGAATTGGCTGTTGGTAGCATCGATCTTCCCATGCGAAATGAGCTCATCCAGCCAGCTGTCAAAGAAAGGAAATCACATCGACTGCGGAACGAAGTCGACGACGTGTTCTCCACTTCAAAACGACGGGGGGTTCCTTCCTTCACTCCACGCACGGGCCCGCACCCCTTTGGGCCCGAACTCGGTGAAGCAGCGAACAGCAACCGCAAGTCGTCCGGGCTTCGTTGGCTTCGTTGGCTTCGTCCGGAAGAGTTGAGCAAAGTGGAATCGAAAGTACGGAACTGGCGATGGCTCGAACCAAACGGCGAAGCCAACAGAAAGCAAACGGATCCGCGACCGTGTTCGACTCCAAAAAGACATTTGGAAGTCTTTTTGCTCCTATGAGACATGTGGTAAGTCTTTTTGTGTTTTTGTAGTCTCTCTCACCTAAAATGAGATGGGTTTCTATGATCCTTTTTCTTGCACCCGTGACCGTTGATGGATGAGATCGATCCATGTTTGGAACGTCTGTTCGGATTCTCCGAACGGTTCCATGCCCGACGCGCCCGAGTCATTCGGTTCCAAACGCGGAAGAAGAAGGAGTCCAAACCCTGAAGTTGTCAAAAGGACAATAGACTTAGATGATATGGCCATCTCAAGTAGGGCATTTTTGAAGGAATCAAGGTTATTTTTCTGCTTTTAGACGATATTGGACATCAATTGTAGGACAATTTGTAGAACCGCGACATGCGCTTCCAAGTCCTGTGTTACATCGACATTTTCAGATAGAGCCATGGCCATGAAGGTGTCATTTCGACAGCTGAATGGTGAAGCGATGATTCTTGAAGTCATGCCAGACATGACTGGTCGAGAACTCAAGGCGCGGATCAAAGAGTGCCAGCTTTGGGACGATGAACTCACACGCAAAACAACTCGGGTGGACATTGTCGTGGGGGCCAGCAGAATGCTGAAGAATGACGAGACAGCTGCAGGCGCAGGCCTGTCTCCAGAATCAGAAGCAACTGTCATTTTGAGACAAAATACCGTGACATGCTCCAACAAACGTGAGTTGGCCCAACTTGCTGACAACCAAAACGGCACTCGCCCTAAATCAGACCGTCGCCACTCGGAGTCATTGTTTGTGGTTCAAATCACAAATGGTGTAACAGCTATTGTTCAAGAGGCATTCTGGGGCTGCAACTTGTTGGCAAGTGTGACCATCCCCAATTCAGTGACCCACATTGGGAGTAGAGCCTTTGCTGATTGCAGCTCGTTGGCAAGTGTGACCATCCCGGACTCAGTGATGGAGATTGGGGAAGCAGCCTTTGCAGGATGCAGCTCGTTGGCAAGTGTGACCATCCCCAGCTCAGTGACCCAGATTGGGAGTAATGCCTTTGGAAAGTGCAGCTCGTTGGCAAGCGTGACCATCCCGGATTCAGTGACCCAGATCGGGAATGGAGCCTTTGAAGAGTGCAGCTCGTTGGCAAGTGTGACCATCCCGGACTCAGTGACCCAGATTGGCATGAGTGCCTTTGCAGAATGCAGCTCGTTGGCAAGTGTGACCATCCCCAACTCAGTGACGCAGATTGGAGTTGGAGCCTTTGCAGGATGCAGGTCGTTGGCAAGTGTAACCATTCCGG